AAATGCTTGAAATTAAAAAACAAAAAATGACCCATGTGAGTAATGGCTGATGATCCCATGTGTCCTTAGCATGCAGAGTTTGGTACTCAGCCTTGGAAGACTCTCTGCATGTGCTCAGGCTTGTTAGATCTTTGTTTCCAAATGTCTGAGGGTTCGTTTTGGACTGCACGTGGCTCAGCCCAGAGCTGCTCAAGTGAAGGTGTTTTCCTCCTGCGGTGGCAGGCTGTCCGCCAGAGCGGAGAGTGAGAAGCTATTTCCTATCTTGCAGTGCTTATTGTGCCAATGCCCACCATTAGAATGGGGCAGTTGTCAGTGAAGATCTAGTTGAGAGTTGGTCTTCGAGTTGTTGATCAAAGTGGAAGGGCCTAGAGTTGCAGGGAGGCCGTGGGTGCCAGGAGATGTGGGTTACCTATAGACTTAAAAACAACTCTGGCATTTTTGTTGTTTCTTTGTTGCTTTGGGCTTTGCTGGTACCCACTTTGTTAGATAACATCACAGTAGTGAAAACATCTGCCCAGTAAGTTGGAGGTCTTGCATTAAAAGACTTTATTCTGCAGAATGCATTCCCAAAGGTAAGAGGTCAAACACACCCACCTGCTTAGTGCTTTCCATTTGCTGGGTTTCAATGAATTGCAAATTCAGCATGTGGATTTTTTTGATCACTTTGGAGATATTGATTCTTTTTGCACACTGTATAAGGTCTCTAGAGTTTAAATTCTAGCCTCTTCTCTGGTTATTAAAAGTGCCTGAAGCACAGATCTACTTTATTGGCACCTAAATTGCTTGAGAAATTTTACTTCTTGTAAGCATGGCTAGAAACATAATCTGTTGTAATTATTTAAAAAGGTACACAGAGCACTTTTAAGTGCAGGATTTAAACAAGATCCTAGTTATGGATTTACATTATTTACTGGTTTAGTCTGGCTCTGCATACTTATTTGCCTGCTTCCCCACAACTGTGGTTTTTTGCGTGTGTTTTTTTTTTAGTTAGGATGTGCAAATTTAAAATTTGCATTGCTGTAAGTTCTGTTTGGAGTGTATTATAAATCTAGCTCAGAAGGAGCTCAGCCTGCTGTTACTCCTGATTTTGAATTTTGCTTAATGGATGCTTTGGCCATTAAAATATGTTTGTAACGTGAATTTTGAGCCTTATCCTTAATTCATGATAATTGGTCTATCCCAGTTTCTACTTATTAAATTTAACTCTCAAATCAGCCTTTGCAAGATGAGGGCAGATACCAACACTCAAACTTGTTTTTCATAGTGTCCTGTCTTATGTGTATCTCTCCCAGCTAGAGCCTTGTGCTTGTGGATTCCAAGCAACTGGCTCGAAGTTAGTTACTTCTGGGGGGTATTAATTTCTGTAATTTTTACTTTAAAACAAAATTGTGTGGTGTCAGGGCTTTTAATGTACAGGTTCTGTTGACTCTTCTTGAACGAGAAGTTTATTTAAACTGAGTGTTACCAAATAGCTGAATTTGATTAAATTGCATAAAACAAACAGAGCTTGTAATCTTGAGGCAAGAGCTCGTTCTTGTGCCCTTCCTCTCTGTCATCACTATGTGAGATTGTTTAAATAACCCCCCAAACAGTTAATTAGGTCATGATATGGAGGGTCTAAGTGGAATTTAGTAGTAAAGTTAATAAGATAACTGTCACAAAGTTTGACTGCTGTTAGCTTAGTGTCCTCTAACATATATTTGAGGTACAATACTTCAGATATCTGGTACTATAGCTTATAGTCTCTTATTGTTTCCCTATTTATAGCTGAATGTGTGTAAAATAAACAAAACCCCCAACAACAACCATCCCCCCCAAAACAAAAAAAAACAAAACCCCAAACAAACACCCCCCCCACCCTCCAAAAAAACCTACAAGAAAACCCCCACAATGTGGTTAGTGGAGGCTATGCCTAATGGAATACTTGCAACACAATGACTGATTAACTTTTACTGTGTGGCTTCATGAAGGCAAAATAGGCAGCTTGCTTGCACGTCTGTTGGTTGAGTCTACACATTACCCCTCGATACCAATCTTTGAGAAGGTAGACAATAAGAGATACTAATCTGTTGCACATCTGTCTCCAGTTGTTTGGGAAAAGATCTTGGTGCGATAATTGCATTATGCTATTTTCTGGCACCTCATGCTGGTTTACTCCTGAGTGCTATGCAAGTATTGATTTAAGCTTGATTTTAGTCTGCACATAATTTCTGTGTCCATTAGGAAAGATATTTCTATATACATGTACACATACACTCACATTTCTGTGTGCCAAATAAGTATGTCATTGTGGCCTGAAAAGCATAACCAAAAGTTTCTCAAATGCACCAAGCGAGAAGGTAGTAGCATTTTCCAAGTTGTTTACAAGACAAAAAAGTTATTGCTAGCTCAAGGTCATTGAAAAGATAGTAGTTAATGGCAATGGAAGATGCATCACTTCAGGTCCATTGTATTAACCATGTATATATTTATCTCGAAGTGTATTCCCTGACCTTCTGAAACCTGTTATTTCTTAGCGGTTTGCTTAGAAATGACTGGGTTTTTTAAAAGAGCAAAACAACTCCGAGTGTTATAATTTGATGTTCTTTGTGTATATAATGAACATGAAGATTGTAATTTTTGTCTTTCAGCAAAGGTTTTTCCTATTACAAAATGTGTCTATAAAACCAGCGGTTACTTTTTTTCCGAAGTACTGAAATCTCATTCTGCCCTCCTTGCCACTCCAATAACATTCTCCACTGAAAATTGACAGTGTTTTCATCTTAGGAGTTTTCTACTTTCTTCTCCTTTGTAATGGCTCCTAGGTTAACTTCCAGAACTGGAGTGTAACTTCACAGTCTTAGGTTGAAAGAGGTACTATAGAGCTTTTGCATGTGGTGATGGTCGTCTTTGGACCTATTCCAACGGTGTGGTATGTGACACCACTTGTTACTGAGCAGGTCTGTGTAAGTGCTGAGCCCTCATTATAATAACTATGAATCTATAATGATGATTGAGGCTGTGTCTGTAAACTAGTGGGTAGGTACTTTACTTGGAGCTGGATTTGTGTGTTCAGAAGCAATGACAGGTTTCTTGATTTATTTATTTGGCTTTTTTTTATTCTTCTGGGAAGTGGAACTCTTGATACTCCAACACCAGAGCTGTCTTTTGTAGGGCTTCTAATTATGCCTGACCAGTTCTTCCAGTTATGGAGTATGCTTAGGGTCTTGCTGAACTTTAGTTATGTTGACCAAAACTTTTTCAGCTCCAAGAAGGAAAACAAACTAAGAAGCTATTTTGATCAAAACAGTTTTCTCTGAACAGCTCTATTTCATTGATCAAAAACTTGGTTAGGGAAGTAACAGTTTTATGACTAAAAATTCTGTGTCTGTGCCATGATGAAAGCCTCCAAAAGGTTTCCTGGATTGACACCGATATATCTGCAGATGACACTGTCCCTGACCATCTCTGTGCTTCCAGAGATTCTGGCATTTGCTAGATGGTTTACTTTCTTTTGGCCTTAAGAAATCCTGCTGGTAGCATTCTTCAGCAAAAATTGTATTCAATTAAGGAGAAAAATTAAGACAGGATCTTTTTATAGCTTGTTTGGGGCTGCAGAGTAGTCAGATAGGGGAGCTGAGAGCATGGACTCAACTATCTTGATGGTAATAAATCAAATGTTTGCATATCATTAAGATGTTTTTAAGCAGTAAATTCCTTTCTGTGTTTTGTAGCTACAGAAAGCTAATGAGTCTTACACAGCACCCTGAAAGCTGATAAACAAAAATTGTTTGGACTGTGTTTGACTGAAACAAGCCTCAGCATTGAAGGACCCATCAGAGAAATTATTCTACCCACATCTGGGCCATTTGGATGGTTTACAGCCAGGAGTTTTTGCTTATTTGTGTCTTGGGTAAAGACACAACCTTTTCAATAAGGACCCACAATATTTTAGCGTTTAGTAATTAAGACTGACTTAATAGAGCATGGGTTTGAAAGGTCTGATTGCCTCATTATTTAGGAAGTCTGTATGTTTCTTGTACATGGTGCGTGGATTCGGGGAAAAATAAAGGTTAGTCTGCTTTTTTATGTGTGAGTTTTGGAGTAACGGGAATGGAAAGTTAGTGTCGTTCAACAGTAGATTTCTTTTGGTTCAGTCTAGAATTGAAAAAGAATCCACATTCAACTGATTGATTTTTTTTTTTTTTTTCCTGTTTATAAGCTGTATTTAATTTTTGAATTCTGTGGTGGGAGCAGTGATCAGTGCCAGAACTTGCCTTGAAATCTGTGGAAGAATAAAATAACTCTTAGATACTGTCATAAGGAACCAGAGTATGTAAGCACAGTTAGAGCAAATAGAACAACTGACACCATGTGAGAGTTGTTGAGTTGTGGTGAGCTGTTGATGAGCAGGCCTCCTAGCTTTACTCTAAGATTTTTTTTTTTAAAAATAATACTATACTTGGACATCATGGTGTAAATTTTAACCAGACTTCTGTTTATGGGGTGGGTTTTGATACTTCTCTCTTCTAAAATGCAGTAGTTTCTTGAATTTAGTAATATCTTAATTATCATAGAAAAAATTGCCCTTTTTAAGGAGGCATTTTGATCTAATGCTCTAAAGTTGGCTCTGTTTCTGTACTTATCTAGCTTATTCTTTAAATGGTCATCTCGTGGGAGACGACAAGGACACACAATATACAGACTGAACCAAAAAAAGCGGTATAAAACATAATAACATTGTGAGCTGCATCAGTGCTATAGCCATAATTACATGTTGGTTGGTGCTGACCTTATGAAGACCATATTTAGGCTGAAGTAAATTTTAGACTGGCTTATGTTGAAATAGACTTTGTATCAAGGGGACAGTTATCCAAATAAGTGTAAAAAGAAAAAAAATTTACTTTAAATGGGGATAAAGCTATGAAAGTTTGTTAAAACAAAACTGCTTTTTCTGTTCTTTAATAATGCTTTTCCAAAAATTCAAGTGTTTAAATGGTCATCTCCTGCTCTTTCAGTGTAGAGATTGGTGAAAGTGTGAGAGGAGAAGATGTGTATATCATCCAGAGTGGCTGTGGAGAAATAAATGACAACTTAATGGAACTTCTCATCATGATCAATGCTTGCAAGATTGCATCATCCTCCAGAGTGACTGCTGTAATTCCATGTTTTCCATATGCCAGGCAAGATAAGAAAGACAAGGTAGGTAAGAACTCTGTAATTTCAGGCGGCTTTTTTTCAGCTTGTTCACTTGAAATTTTTGGAGATGAAAACACTTCATAAAAATTCAAGTGATTTGAAGATTTGCTTTTTTTCATCCTTTTTTGGTAAAATGTTGAATTACATCATCTGTAGGTGAATGAAATGAGACAAATTATTTTTTTGCTTGTGTTTTGATAATTAACACGCCTTCAGTTTGAAAAACTAGGTACATCCTACATGCGTGGTATATTGCAGACTGTTCTGCTAGCAAACGTCACCTTATGGGACTGTTTTCCTGCTCTTGCTAGCTGCTTTTTTTTTTTTTAAACTGTATATGAAGAGCCTATGCCTTTTTAAACATTTTAACTGCATGGAATTAAATCCTAAATTTGAAGTGCTGTAACCATTGTATAGGTGGATTTTACCCTATATGGTTAAACAGAACCAAGTGGAAGGAAGTGATTAAGTCTGCAATGCATAACAGTAATTGATAAAAACTTTTTTAATCTGCCTTGCAGCATAAAATAAAGGTTTTATATCTGTAATAAATTTCATTGATGGAGACCAAAAATTTTTCAGAAACCCCATAAATACTCTTCTGATCTTAGTGCCCTTTTCCTGAATTTGGTCTGCCATAGCTGATGAATATACCAGTTCAACCAAGCTGATAACACAGTAACAAACGCTGTGGCAAGTGAGTTTGACTTAAAAAAAAATACAGAATTAAACTTTCCTTCTCTACTGTATATACAACCCCCCTCTAATATGTTATGTGACTGTTACTTTTGCTTAAACTCCCTTGAAAATAACTAATGAGTGTAAATATGAATCTGGCTTTTAGGACTGGGTGGTTGTCTTTTTGGAAAATTCCCCCTCTGATACTTCCCATAAAGGGACTTGCTCCTCCCTTTCATTTTAGGCATCAAGCAAACCATCCTGAAAGCCTTCTGTTGTTCTTTGTTCTTTACATTCTTTTATATAAAACATAACAGGACTGAGAAGTAATGCAGAAGCTAAAAATAATAGCAGCTGTTACAAAAATCTGTGATGCCTGAGAACAAAACTAAATACCAGAAAAGTTACTTTCTGGTATACTCATTAATTAAACGCAGGCTCTCTAACACCGTACTAGTATGAAGACCAACTTGTTATACTTCCAAAAGCAGAATTCAGGGGTTAGTAGTAGCTCCCTATTCTTTTCCTGTGTCTTCTGGAACTTCATTTTTGCTGTGTTTTGTATTGAATAATGCTCTCCCTCGATCAGGAGAGCTGAAATACTTGTTTTTATTAGAAGAGCTTGAAAGGGAAGCAATAAACACTTTATTGAAAGGGAAGGAATGTACCTCAATACGCTTTGACTTCCAAATTCATATTAGAAGATTCTGCTGGTCTATCCTGTGAGTTCTTGGCGTGGGAAAACAATGAATATGTCCCCAGTTTTCCATGCATCTAGGTTATGCCTTTCCAAGGGTACCCAAAATCCATGTGGTGGACTTCCAAGAGACACTTAAAACCCACAGTGTGGTGGCCCAGCATGCCTCCCAGGAGCATTTTGTATTTTTGGAAATGTCATGTGAAGATGGATAGCCTAGAAAAGTGATTTTGATGAACAGAAATTTTGAGCATTGTTCCGGATTGTTCTCTGGGTGTCATGGAGTTCTCTGGCAATTCTATGCAAGCCATTTATTTTTTTCTTTTACCTCTGTTTTGCAACTGAGAAAATGTTTGCCATCTTTGGAAATTAACCTTGGTAGTTGACCTCCACGTTGCAAAATAAGCTAAAATATAGCTGTTAACATTGGGCAGTTTATTGACAGGGAGATCTTTCCTCCCACTGTTGGATTGCATCACATCACTTGGTCTTTGACCCACGTTGAGTGCACAAGCGTTGTGTGCTGCCTGAAGTGACAGTAAAGTGCCAGCCATTTTCTTCCTATAGTTAGACACAGATTTTCTTCTTCCTGGTGTAAGAAATTTCTGTAGTTCGCTTGACTATAAACTGAAGCAGTATAATCTTCACTAATGGATGCTGTTTTCTGGTTTGACTTAAGTTGTTGACTTTCATCCATAAAGAACTAAACAGACTGAGTCCTTTCTGCTTGAAATAACCCTGTATTCTTCATGCCTCTGTTATAGCTGTGATTGCTGAGAGCAATGAAAGTGCTCCTGACTTATTTATGGAAAGGGCCTTGCAGTAAAAAAGCATAGTCTGAACAAGGCCTGTGTAATCAACTCTGGAAATTTTAGCATTAAACCTGGATTAGCTTTAAATGAGAAACTGAGGCTTAAAAAAAAGGCTTGCTGAGAATCGTAGAAAAGTTGGTAAATTAATTCAGATGCAATTGAGCGCTGCCATAAATTAAATACTTCTGATACACGAAGTAGCTAATTTAAAATTAGCTCAGGTGTATCTGTGCTTTGGCCATAGTTGCATTTATGCATCCTCTAATTATGCTAACCTTCCAAGCCATGGGCAGGACACATCAATGTAGGATGCTGCAGAGATGCCTTTGAGATAATTTAGAAGTAGAGCGACAGGTGAGTTTGGTGTTCTACAGCTCATGTAACTTTGTTTTTTTGATTTGTAGAAGGGGTCCGTGGAGCGTTGGGTAGGTATCCTCTCTTTTTTTTTTTTTTTTTTTTTAATCTAACGCTATGCATTTCCATTAATATGGCCTTAAAGAGTGAAACTAACTGGGTTACATTATGTATAACTAGGAACGTTTTCAGTTTCACTTCTTGATTTCAGTTGTGTTTCACCTAGGCCATGACAGTAATCCTGTGGAATAATTTGCTACTAGAAAATGCCTAGCTTCTAGTTACAAATTTATCTGGGCATTCAAGATAATGGCTGTCAACTTCTGAAGCTTCAAAGCATATCTCATTTTTGAAACGATAAATTTAAGTAATACATTAGTGAATATTCGGCATCCATACACTTCACAACTGGCTTTCTTGGAAGTGAAAGTTCCAGTTATAAGTCTTTGGGGTTTCTTGGATTTTTTTTTTGTCCAGTATGCATGTGATGCATTTTGAGCAGGACAACATAATAAGATCCTTAAAGGCAACAGAGCTTTAATCTTGATGGACAACTTTTACTTTCAGCTATGTGTCCTTTGCATAGTTACTCTTGTGAGGTTGTTTTATACTAGCTTTGTGGATTCCCCCCTGCCCCTGGTAATTTTAAGAAACGTGAATAAATTTGTAATGCATCACAAAGGAAGAAATAATTTATATGACTATTACGTAAATGGGGAATTTTCTTAGGAATTAAAAACTCAGTGATTTTTTTTTACAATTTAGTTTCTGTACATAATGTAATGTTGCGTTTCACACTAATAATTCTGAAACTAATCTCAAATTGTGTCAAAGAATGGAACAATGAATACTGTGAATCTCTTTGTTTTCTTGCCTCTCTGATCAGAAGCAAACCTTACAAACTCCAAGATGAAGAAAATCTTGTTCTCATCTACCTTTGTCATCCAAGTTTCTGAATAATGAGGCCAGGTTATCTGAGGTTCCCATGAATATACTTCCTTTGATTTTAAAGTAATCTTCGATTTGGATCATATTGTAGCACAAAACTTGCTTTCTATGCAAGCAATCAAATCTTAAATCCTTTTGAACATGTCATGTGTGTTTTCTTTTAATGCACAGTTTTGTGTAAAGGAAACTGTCAGATAGCTGCAAACTTCATTTGTCTTAATCTCCTATTAGCCCATTCTTGAGAAACAGGTATTGGTGTCTGGCTATCTTTCCTTCCAAGACCCTCTGTCCACCAACACTTAGGCAGTCTGTGATGTTTGCATGTCTGCTAAAACAAGTTACCTAGTGGTAAAACCTTCAAGTTTTTCCTTCTGGGAAGGCAGCCTGCAAGGCCAGCAGCTGAAAGAAGTACCAACTGGTAACGTATACATTAGTATTTGATGCAGGAAAGTATTTTGGTTTTTTTGTGATAGTGACACTCATGATATTGATACATGGGACAAGCTGTGGTATTCGCATTGAACAGAAATGGAAAAAAAATGAAAGCAACATTCAGTATGCTAGATGGAGTGGAAATGGCAAACTGTGTTCTGGGAAGAACATAATTTGCCTTTAGCAACTATCCTGATCTATTACTTATTTCTGCCAGAGGGGGTGGTCCTGGTTTGCCATCGTCTTTTCCCTTCTTTTCCATTTGAGCTGCCTTGTCTGGCTGCTGTGGGTTCAGTCCAGCCCTGGTGTGCAGCACAAGGGAAGCAGTGGAAGTGTATAGCCTGGGAAGAAAGGATGGGACAAGTAGGGGAGAAAACCTCTTGCTTCAGCATCACCTGTTAGTCCAGCTTAGCTGTACCATCAGACCAGATCTTTGCAAAGAGCTGGTAAGAGAACATTGTGGTAGAGTCAAAAGAGTAGGAACTAAATCTTTGTTTTATTAGATGTTGGCAGAGATTTGAGAATATTTTGATGCCCAGCTTAAAAAGGTTAGTTTGTGCTGCGAAGATGAGCTGAAGTGATCAGGAACTTGAATGGCATGAACCAAAAGTTTAGTGCTAATAAAAGAAATGCCCAGAAAGCTTTGGCCGACTTGAACCTTACAGAACTGAACTGAAATGAGGAGCAGCATAGTCCTCAGTAACTGGAAAATCATCTGTGTCAAAGTGCTAATGATGGCAAACCCTTACGGAAGCTACATGCATCTGAATTACAGAGATCTAGAGAAGTGCTAGCTGTTGCATATATCTTCTGTGTATCTTACACAGGCCAATCAGTGGTGATGTTCTGTGAAACACATAAGCCAAAAGGGATGGTTTTCAGAATGAAGGATTTCTGTAATGACAACAGACTTGATCCAGCCATAAGAAAGACTGCAATATCTGAGTTTCTTTTCTGGAAGTATGTTGGCAATCTGCAGGTTAAAACAGAGAAATGCCAAGTTTCCACCTAAATTAGGAAAATTTTTGAGGAAAATACATAGACAGAAAAGCATCCAGGTTAAGTTGGCAGTGGTTAGCTTATTTTGGGTTATGCCCTCAAGCATCAGTGGAAGGACAGCAGAGATACTCTCTGATTGTGTATGTGGGGTGGAGGGAGAAGAGGTTCCTAGGAGGCTAAATGAGGCTGTTTGATAAAGAGATGTAGCAGGAGAGAATACTGTGCCAGCAAAAACCAGAGTCTGACAGTGAGATGGAACCTCTGAATTGCAGTTCTGCCTTCATGCTGATGTTCTTGCCAGCTATTAGTCTTATTTAAAGATTGGCCAAAAGAAAACAGGAAGTTTTGTTTAGTTTTTCTGTTACAGAGAAAGCTGCCAGGGCAACATAGTCTTTCTTTAGAGCTTAAAAAAAATCTGAAAAAACTTTGGAGTTGCTCAAAAAAAGTAGCGAGGTATCTTCCAGTCATGACTTTCCATCTCTTCTTCTTTATGTTGCTGTTTGTTCTCTATCCTTGTCACTTTTTTAAAAGCTCTTGACATTGGCATTAACTTTGCTAATTAGATTTTTTTTTTTGCTGCTCTTTCATTCTTTCCACTTTCTTTTGCTCTTTCCACTTCTCTGTTTTTTTTCATCTCCCCCGTCCCTTTTGGGAATTCCAGGCTTCTAATTGCATTCAACAGTCAAGCCTGCCAAAAAGAATAAACAAATAGGCCAGGGTAGAAGACCTCTGCCAACATGAATTTGTTACAAACTTTATCATGAAGAAATGCTTGATACTGACTTTATTTTAATTCAAAAGTTGGATTTGCTCTGCCTTCCATATTTGTTTTTGGCAATGTTTTGTAGAGCAGGGTAGTTGCTTGAGAGTTGGGTGTTAGTGTAGGGTAGTGGCTTAGAGAAATGGAGATTGTCTTTCTGCTATAGAAAAGCTGGCTGAAAGTTTTGAATAGAAGAATTGGAAAACTATATCCCCAATTTTATCTGTTTGTTAGTCTAATTACTACAAAGCACTATTAGGCAGACTGTGAAAACTGATTTAGATATTCCTAAATATTTTGCTGAGTTTCAAAACCTTAGTAGCAAGATTAGCTATTTACAGGCTAGTTTGGTTAAAGTTCTGGAGCTCTTCATATCTAGATTCCAAATATTCTAAAGGAAAAATCAGTAAAAGTAGCTAATTTTCTGACTCCTTGCATCTAGACAATCTTCCTAAAATATGAACATTTGTGCTTTATTCCTCAGAGTCGTGCTCCGATCTCTGCCAAACTTGTTGCCAACATGCTGTCAGTGGCAGGGGCTGACCACATCATCACCATGGACTTGCACGCTTCTCAGATCCAGGTAACTAACAGTTGTTACTAACTGTGGCTAGGAGCTCTACTGAATTTATGTGAAAGACTAATATTAATTCTGTGTTTTTCTCATTGTTTTGAAAGGCCATGTACACAAGTGTAATATTCAGGGTTCAAAAAGAGTCTCGCTACCTGTTTCTAATTAAATTCCCTTTTTGAAAGAGACCAGCCTTGATTCTATGGGGTGATTTTGCAGGCACTTTGCATACTTGTGCATTGGAGTCTCAGTGGAATTTCCCAAGTTTAGTGTAAGTGCTCCCAGAACACAAAATACACTGGTTTGGGGCAAGTTCTCTTAATCTTCACCTGGTCAGAGATTATAGTGTTGCTCTAGATAGTTTTGTTGTTACAGCCAAGAGGACAATATTCTCTTAAGAGAAGTGGAGATGAAGGCTGGCAACCCTTAAGTGCTTACTGCTGAATTCAGCAAATCACAAAACTCAGACACAGAGCAGACATCGTTTGTCATTCTCATGTGTACCTCCTTTCAAGATACCTTGCTTTTCCTAGAAAATACCTTCTCTTCCAGTTCTGGTATTCTGTTTAATCATAATTTCCTGTTATGCTAGATGGCTGTCACGCAAATAAAAAGCAGTTTCATTTGTGGTCTAACAGAGCAAAAATTTCTTGTCATTAAAACTTGCACAAAAACTAAGATTCCGTTTCTGCTGCTCAAGTAATATTAACTTGAATCTTCCCCATATTGAAATACTACTGTTTATGTCAGAAGTTGTAATTTATGGAAGTTGAAGCCTAATCACTGTATTTTTTTGAGAGCTTTTCACAAGCGTGAATTTACTTGAGTGCCTGAAGGTGATCTTTGTTCCTGACTTTTGTATCATTTGAGAATAGCTGTTCTTTATTTCTACTCTTGGGTGAGATTTTGAGACCATCATATTTGTTTAACTTCTGCATTTTGTAGTAATACAAGAGGGCAGAATTAGGTGAATGTAAAATACTAGTTAAAGTTCTACCATACATGAAAGACAAAGGCTTGATTTCCTCCCCCCCATGTCTTTGTTCCATGTAAGACACAAACATACATTCATGAAACTCTTTTTCTCTTTCGGACTAGGGTTTCTTTGACATTCCAGTAGATAACCTGTATGCAGAACCTGCAGTGCTGCAGTGGATTAAAGAGAACATTTTGGAGTGGAGAAACTGTATAATAGTCTCACCTGATGCGGGTGGTGCAAAAAGGTACTATACAAGCCTAAAATTCTTTGTTTTCCGTATAGTCAGTGGTTAATGAACTAGTTTGTGTAGTCTTTTTTTCCTCTATGAATTGTGCAAGATATAGCGTATATCACTGATGAATCCAACTGCAAAACAGAACAGCTAGTTTTTCCAGTGTTGTTTGTGCTTGAGAACATCCAGGAGCTTTCTATACTCTAAAGAAAATCTTTTTCTCTCTCCCTGGATATGGCCTCTCTAGCTGAATCCCTCCACAAGAGGGAAGAGATTTTTCCTGCTGCTTGCTTCTTTAGTCCAGTTGCTGCACCTCTTCCTGCTTCACTCTGGAGTTGCCTAAGTTTCCCTTCTCTGTCAAAGCATATCGCCTATCCCCACTGTACCTGCTGGCATTTAGGTAAGAGCTTGCTTGTGTTGTGTTTCTTTTTTTTTTCTCTACGTTATTGCATTCCACCTGTAAACCTATTGACCCCAAGTTGTGCACTGTGGATACTAGAAAAATGGAGTGAAGTTTTGGTTTGAGTGGTAAAAGAATAGAATAGAAAAGTTAGTTCATTAGAGTGTTTCTTCATTTGCAGCATGCATTACTCATGTGTTACTCATTTAGGAGACTATCTTTTATTTCATATCTATTGAATATAAACTAATGCAAAAGCTCAGAAGCATGCTGGCTGATGAGGTGATAAAGCATGCCGCTGAGGCACAATGCTTATTTTTCAAGTTTTATTGGCCGTGCTGCTGCTACAAAACTGAATGGGAACAAAGACAAATGAAGTAAGAATTCTGTAAGCCCATAGTAATTTAAATATTTGGAATGTAATATGGGGAAAATGTGAGACTGTCATAATTTGATTTTAATTGATGCCCTTGGGTCTGTTGTGAGTGTTCATGTTCCAGTAATTAATAGGGAAGTAAGACTGATTAGAACTCCATAGTTGTTCCTGTTTAATCAAGGTAAGGATGTGAAGAATATAAACTACAGAAAGCATTCTAAAATTCAGGTGACTCGGTCAATTGAATTTATTCATTCCTATCTGGATACTGATGTTTTCACCATTGTTTTGTGTTTGTGTGTGTTTTTTAAATGAAATACAGCCTTTGTGAATTCAAGTCAGAAGGCAGCACTTTTTCCCCTAACAAATATTTGTATATTATCAAACTGATCATAAAAGTTTATTTTTTGAGGACCACTCTCACTGTATTTAACATAGCTAGCTAGACCCTATCTTTTGGTACCTTTCTGTTGTAATGCAACCAAGCAGTTACTGGTGAAGTAGGGGAAGATGTTGCTTTCAATCAATTCAAAGCTTTTCCATCACCTTCAGTAATGTAAAGAAAATGGTTTGGCCTTTCCATTTAAATAATGTGTACCTTCAAAATAACACTTGGGTTAATGAAAAGTGAATAGAATGAGAAGAAAGGTTGTCTTAAAATTTAAGCATTAAAGAAACTTAAACCCATACATGTTCTTGCACTCATTTAAAACATCTTATTTCTTTTTTGTTTCTTAACATTTGCTTGGGTTTTTTTCCCCAGCTTATTAAATTTTGTGACTGCAATAGGGCATGTAAATTCTATTGATATCTTAATGCCTCTGAGTTATTGAGGCTTGCTATTAAATTACACTATTGCTCACAAAGAAACACCAAAATATTTGGGTTTTTTGTTTGTTGCCCAGTTGTTGAAATACAGTACCCAACAACACCTTAATATTTAAGTGTTAAAGAAAACTGTATTCTCTAACTGTGCACATTAATAACCTTGTTAACAATATTCTAAACTTATTCTAAAAAGGCAGGCTACAAGGTTGCACCAGCATAAAAAAAGCATAGTATTGTTTATTCCTGTGTCTTTATACATGCCAGCTCTGGTATATTAAAAAAAAAACCACAAAACTGAAAAAAGCAATCAGAAGTCTGTAACAAATTAAGTTGGAGAAATTGGAGGTTTGTCTGGCCACCAGAGGTCACCCTGAATAGATTTAAAAGATCTCTGTCAAGTAGGTGTATTGCTAAGGGAATTACTAATGAAGTAAGGTACTTGATTGCTAGTAAGTACTGCTAAAAGAATTATTAATCACTATTAACTTGTTTGTTTTTTCCCTTTGGTTTCACATTCCTGCAATGATATTTTCAGTTAGGATGTTAAAGTGCATGCTGCCGTAGGCTTAGAATTGAGGCTACCTCTACTTTAGATTATCTAGTGTGACTAGGTATTGCAACAGCTTAATAAATGCTTATGAATAGCTGAAATGTTTTCAAAGCAGGCACTTAATGACAGAAAGCCAAAGTCAATTAAATAAAAAAATTGATTTCTGGAGTATAGCTTAAGACTGTCTGGTTGGATTTATTAGCAGTGAATTAAGATGGTTTCTAACATGTCTCATTACTTGCAAAAGTTTGTGCTGCAGTAATTTGAAAGCCAGGAAACATAAAACCTGTGTTTTATGAAAATACACATACACGGCTCTGTTCTTCCTTTTAAAATAATTCTCTAAATGAGGTGCGTTTCTTTCTGTAACTTAGGGTTACTTCAATTGCTGACAGACTGAATGTGGAATTTGCTCTCATTCATAAGGAAAGAAAGAAGGCAAACGAAGTGGACAGAATGGTCTTGGTTGGTGATGTGAAAGACAGAGTAGCAATTCTCGTCGATGATATGGCTGACACATGTGGCACAATATGTCATGCAGCAGACAAGTAAGTATTATTATGAACTGGCCTGCTGTCTTGCTGTACTGTCACCTGCAGATAGCCGATGAACACATTGCTGTGTCTTGCATGCTTATAACCCAACCTGACCTCTAGCATGAAGTCAGTCTGATCCTTGAGTCTATAGGTCACAGTCCTGTGATCAAGTTGTGTCCTTCTTTAGAAAGTGGCATTGAGAAAATATTTACAGAAATGTATTCTCTGTGTTTAGAAAGAGGACAGAATAAATAAAAAAGCTGTATGACTTGGAAAGGACTTGGACCATCTACTGCATTTTTCAGTTCCTAGGCAGAAATGACATAGAAATATCATTTATCATGGAGTCGTTCCACTCTCCTTAGGCAGTTTTTCAAAGATTTACTAGATTTGACATTGGAAAGTATTTTTTCCCCAGTGCTCAATGTGTGTTTAATATTAAATCTTTAATGTACATTTTCAGTATAAAACTACTTGCCCTTTTCATCTGGGGAGGTGAAAATAAGTTTTTCTGTCTTTTGTCTGGAAGTTAGTTGAAGAGTGTTCTCATTCCCCTCTAGACTAAGCGACTTGAGTTTGTTCAGTCTTTCCACATGGTTTCAAGACTTCTCATTTGTTGTTGATGCCCTCTGGATTCTTTCCAGTTGGTCCACTTCAAGAAGTGGAGCGTGTGAATGTAGACCCACTGTCTTTACTTAGCACTGCTAGGGCCTCAGTTAAAAGGATTACTTTATGGTTTTCCAGCTGGCATTATGCTGGTACATTTCAGGGTAGTAGTAGGGTTGTTTCCACAGAAGTTGGCATTATTGACTGCACTGAACTTTGGTAATGTCTGTAGCCTTTAAGAAAATTGCCGATTCCTGAAATGATTAACTTTTCCTATGGCTGTAGCTTCACAACTCAGTATGTATGAGAGTAAGTCTAGCTTCAAAATAGTCTTGACAAATTGGAGAAATGGACTGAAACTCATTAAAAACAAATGTGAGGTATTACAGTTGAGCAATGCTAGACTAAAGTGCTCCTGCCCATCCACGCATATCCAGATATGTGCTACTGACTTTGGTTTGGGAGGTCAAGGGCTGCAATCTAAACTTGGCCAGAGTCCTGAGGTTTTAAATATTCCATTCAAAGATCTTGTATTTTCATGTTGTTTATAGCAAAGCCCACCCCTGTATGATTGTAAACAGCGCATGCTGGAAGTGGGAAGGAACTCCTGAGGAGCAAGATACAGGAATGTTTTAAATTGATGTTGCTGAACATTTACTGTAGCATTGCTACTCTTGGATGTAATCCTTCCTAAAGCTAGTATGTCTCAGTTGAGAGCAATTGAATTTATGTTCCTGTCCAATATATTTGTAGACACTATGAGAGTATCAAGTAGTCTTGCATCAAAAATAGGTCCACGTGATACTTCCTGACTGTATTTTATAGAGGTTGGAAAAGACCTTTAAGATTGAGTCACCTCTTCACCTAACACTGCCAAGTCCACCACTAGACCATGTCCCTAAGCACCTCATCTACCTGTCTTTTAAATACCTCCAGGAATGGTAACTTGACCACTTCCCTGGGCAGCCCGTTCCAGTGCCTGACAAACTTTTGTGAAGAAATTTTTCTTAATATCTAATCTAAACCTCCCCTGGTGCAACTTGAGGCCATTTCCTCTTGTCCTATTGCATGTTACCTGGGAGAAGAGACCAACACCCACCTTGCTACAACCTCCTTGCAGGCAGTTGTAGAGAGGGATAAGCTCTCTTCTCTGTCTCCTTTTCTCCAGGCTAAACAGCCCCAGTTCCCTCAGCAGTTCCTCAGAAGACTTGTTCTCCAGACTCCTCACCAGCTTCATCACCCTTCTCTGGACACGCTCCAGCCCCTCAATGTCCTTCTTGAACTGAGGGGCACAAAACTGAACACAGCATTTGAGGTGTGGCCTCACCAATGCGAAGTACAGGAGCACGACCACTTCCCTGCTCCTGCTGGCCACACTATTTCTGCTACAAGCCAGGATGCTGTTGGCCTTCTTGGCCACCTGGGCACACTGCTGGCTCATATTCAGCCAGCTGTTAACTAGCACCCCCAGGTCCTTTTCTGCCAGGCTGGTTTCCAGTCACTTTTGCCCAAGCCTGTAGCATTTCATAGGGTTGTTGTGACCCAAGTGCAGGACCTGGCACTTGGACTTGTTGAACCTCATACAGTTGGCCTTGGCCTATTGATCGAGCCTGTCCAGGTCCCTCTGCAGAGACCTTCTCCCCTTGAGCAGATCAACACTCCTACCCAATTTGGTGTCATCTGCAAATTTGCTGAGGGTGCACTCAATCCCCTCATCCAGGTCATTGATAAAGATATTGAACAGAACTGACCTCAGTACTGAGCCCAGGGGAACACTGCTTGTGATCAGCCACCAACTGGGTTTAACTCCATTGACCACAACTCTCTGGGCTTGGCCATCCAGCCATTTTTTTAGCTAGTGAAGAGTATTCCTGTCTAAGCCATGAGCATGCTACCATGTCAGAGGCCTTGCTGAAGTCCAGGTAGACAACATCCACAGCCTTTCCCTCATCCACTTGGTGGGTCACCTGGTCATAGAAGGAAAACAGGTTGGTCATGCAGGACCTGCCTTTCGTGAACCCATGCTGGCTGGGTCTGATGCCCTCATTGTCCTGCACATGGCTGGTGAGTGCACTCAGGATGAACCGCTTCACAATGTTCCTTAGTACTGAGGTCAGGCTGACGTCCCTCTGCAGAGTCTTCCCACCCTCAAGCAGATCAACACTCCTGCCTAACTTGGTGTTGTCTGCAAACTTACTGAGGGTGCACTCAATCCCCTCCAGATCGCTGATAAAGATATTAAACAGAACTGGCCCCAGTACTGAGCCCTGGGGAACACCACTTGTGACCAGCTGCCAGCTGGCTTTAACTCCATTCACCACCACCCTTTGGGTCTGTCCACCCAGCCAGTTTTTTACTCAGTAATGCATATGTCCCTCCAAGCAATGAGCAGCCAAGTTTCTCCAGGAGAATGCTGTGGGAAACAGTTTCAAAGCAACAGGGTGAAGCTTAAGTGAACTAGACATTACTGTTGGTGGTTTGAAGTAAAGATCATCCCATGAGTTTACAGTCTTCAGTTGCAGGCTTGCTGTTTGCATAGGTAAAACAGATGTAAAAAAACTTGTGGTAGAGGGATTCCTATAGTCTTGTGTTTCTGCTCACTTTGATAGAAATTTGATGGAATTTTGCAAAGAGATGTTTTGCAGTTGTTTGCTATCTATACTAATCTGCCTCAGACCCCCAAAGCATGCTTCTGGGCTGTGCTCTTTGTGGTTAATTCCTGTCAAACAGGAGGCCTTTATTTCTTTCCTGTTATGAAAGAAGCACTTCTTTAGAAATCTACTGTAGGTAAACATAGAGCAAATTCTAAAACCATTAGAAACCTCAATGTATCTGCAGTGTTCATTAAGATGCTTTTGCTTTAGTGATGCTGCCTTATATCATGTTCTTGGCATGAAGTAGTGCTTTTCATTAATGCCAAATCTGTGAGATGTACTTTGTGCTTAATTAGACTTGCTCACCAAAATACTTTTTAGACCTCTTTGTCAGCAACCTAGATGCATCTCAAGCAGATGAACTAAGAAATGTATTTTCAGATACAGCAGATCAACTTGCTTAAGTGCAAACTTAAGTAAACACCCTTGGTACACACTCACCCAGTTGCAGTGCATCCTCCTTGTAGGTTGGAGCTACTAAATGTAATGCTGAGAATGACCAGAAAACTTTGATTCTGTTGAGTCATTCAAAATGGTATGAGGTTTCTGTGGTTTTGTCTTTTTTTCCTATCTTACTGTGCTTCTGCTATGATCTGATAAGACTAGGAAAGTCTAAGACTAGAAAGACAGGTAGAACACAGCTGAGCATCTGGAGGCAGAGGCTAGTCAAAACCAAATTAAGAGATTCTGACTCATTCAAAGCGTTCTAGTTCTTTGAGTTGTACTTTTTCTTCCTGTGTTGCATCATTTCACTGCATGCTTGGATCAGCAGCATGTCTTCCCAGAACCTTTGCAGTAAGATAGGCTTTTAACAATTAACATTTCTTCTTCCTCAGAAACTCTTTCCAAGAATTGTTTGAATTGCAAATGAAAATAAATGTGGACAATAATGGAGGCACAAGAGAGTTGTGAATACGGCCATCCAACCTACTTAATTTTTGCCTGATTAAGATAGACAATTTGTACTGCAATTCAGTTGTGTGTTGTGCTAATATAGTCAAAAGCGCAGAGTTTTCGATTAGTATCACTGATACGAAGTTTTTTATTTAATTAGCAGTTATTTATTATTTTTTGAGACTTATTTGTATAACCTGAAAAAGTTTAAAATTCTGTGAATTATTTTGTAGATACTTGTATCTTCCTGTAGCTTCCAGGAGGAATTTGTGTGTAAAATGTATCTTAGAGATTTGTATCTGGCTTCATCATAGCCATGTATGTAAACATACATCACAGCATACTTTTCCTTCGTGTTCTACAGGCTGGTATCTGCTGGGGCTACTAAAGTTTATGCCATTCTTACACATGGCATCTTTTCTGGTCCTGCTATTTCTCGGATTAACAATGCATCATTTGAGGCTGTTGTGGTAACTAATACAATCCCCCAAGAAGAGAAAATGAAACACTGCCCAAAAATTCAGGTACAGTGCTGGTTTTGTCATCTATTTAAACTCTAGATTTGTAGTTACTGTTCACTGATACTAGAATAATCCTTGAGAGGAAAATAATTTTCTAAAATACATTATGCAGTTTTATTTGCAGAACATCTTGCTAAAACATGCCTGAAGAACTGTTTTAAGGGGATTCAGGTAGTACAATAGAGTATTGCAAAATATTTGGTATTTGCAACAGATTGAGCTTGCCTGCCTGTGGAAGAATGGCAAATGTAAATTGGCTGGGTTTTGTGGGGGTGGGTGATCAATATTAATCATACAGTATTTGTAGGTAGGAACTTTAGTTATGTTATTGTGGGTGCCACAGAAACCTTAGATGACTTTTTTAAAATACACTAAAAAATGCTCAAGATAGCATTGACATATGTTTCTTTTTCAAAACCAAACTGAAAATACAAAGCTGACTTAGATCAGTAGCTTTTACATGAGATTGTTCTGCTAAGTCATGTGTCCCTTTTGGAGTTTTTCCTTAGTACAGAATGGAGGAAAGCATAAAAGATGGCTTGGTTTTGGTTTTTTGTTTTTTGTTTTAATGCACCATTGAATTTTTAAAAAGCTTAAAATTTACTTGGTATTTATTGAACAAAGCAAGCCCTTAAGATTTATACTTCCCTTAAACTGTCTTTGTGTCAAGCGGACACTGCCATCTGATGGCTAGAATAGTTTTTTTGACAACATGCTCTGTGCCAGAAGTCTTCAGCAGTATGCCTGTGCAGCAATCTTATTCAATGTTTTCCCCCTCAATTTTTGAGTTTGTACTTTGTATTAATGCAGTTCTTGCATATATACTAAGTACCTAATGCTTTAATGGTATTTTACTTCCTAGAAGAGGTAAGAGCGCAATATTTTTGTTCATATATTTATAAACTGCATAGTTTTATTGTTCTTAGCATCACATAAATTTTATCTTCTTGATTTTTCTTTCAGTTTATTGACATTTCCATGATCCTGGCTGAGGCAATTCGAAGAACACACAATGGTGAATCTGTGTCTTACTTGTTCAGTCATGTACCCTTGTAACTGCAGGAGATTGCATCTTTGCAAAGGCCCTTTCAGCTAGCACTGTTCTTAACAATGCATCTCAACCACAAAAAAAATAGTATCTTTGTACAATTCCAGAGCTTGTATGTTTAATTATTATATTTGTCTTGTAATTACCATTTGTTCTTTGTAAATGGTCAATAAATCTGTCTTGCAGAAACTATGAATTCCCTTGAGAGTCTGAAAGTCTTGTGTGTTATGCGAGTTCTCTTTTATGTGCCTGTCCTTGCTTTCTGCTAAACTGCTGTTTCCAATCAGTTTTCCTATACGGAACTACAGACTATTCATAGAACTTAACGGGATTGTATGCATGTACGATCGTTTTCTGTGTTAAGCTGAATGCTGCATGCTTGGGCTTCGTGTATCTATTCATCTGTCAGGCAAGCAGCTGTTGGTTTTTGTTTTGTTATGTTTAACTACCATGAATACTGTTTTGTAAGCCTTAACAGAATGTAAACTTCATGTTAATTTTGACAACTGTTGACACGTCCATGGTATTAACTGTTTCATAAACTTTGTTCTTTTTTCCACAAGATATATGTGGCTGCTGTTTTCTTTTGTAAAGCTCTCATTACATTAAATTGTTTGCTTAGCATCTATTCTGTGCAGTTACTGTCTTCAGTTGTAAGATTAATGTTATGGTATTCCTGGAATTATTAATTTCATGTGCTTCAATAATAAGAACCAATCTTTCATGATGAGCGGTTTAGTTTAAATTTCATTTTTTCCCCATAGTTTTTGACATTCCTTGATTATGATCATATGAATCATTTCATAGCAGTTTTCCTGTTAATATTGTAAAGCTTCACTATGCAAAGCCCAAACAGCAAATTTATAAAACACTTATTTATACAAGCTGGTCTCTACCCACATTTACTTGATTAAAAACTATCTGAAAATACTTTTTTTTTTTTTTCAAACTGCACAGTCAGTAGAGCTTCAGGTTTCTATTAGAGTACCACAGTACTTTACTGTGTTGCCGGACAACTGTGGTAGACTAGTTAGTCTCGAATACTTAACATTGGAGAATTAAAATCATTATGAAAACAGTTTTGCCTCTTGTATGCTGAGAAAAGCTTATGGTTAAGTACTGGTAATGCAGTCAGGAAAGGATTCGGGGGGGGAAAAAACCCAAATCTGATCTTGTAATTTCAGTCTTTGAATCCTTTTATGGAGTGTTTCGGTCTTCCTGCTAGAAAGGAAGAGCTTGTATGTATTAAGATAGTGTTTCTGCACCTAGATCATGGGAAAACTGTTTCCTACCTGAAATTGTAGTTGTTAATTACAAAAGCATTTGCTGTGCTTGAGAGATGCTTCTTTATTGTGGAGCTGCATTAGAAAAAAAAGCCTGATTTTTATCCTACCTTGCTTAGCCTGGGATGTATTTATAATGATACAATGTTGTATTATAAAATGGATTTTTCCATTCCATTTAAGATAGTCTTCAGACAAACTATTCTTTTGGTTTCTCTGAGAATGAATCTATTTTGTCTTTAGATGTGGGTTTCTTTTTCCTATATAAAAATTAGTAAAACAATTTCACCTGTGCTGCTCTCTGTGATGAATACAGAAATGGAGGATATAAGATACTGTGGTGAGAATTCAGTTCAGCCACTAGTTCTCACAGGAATTCTTCACTACAGCTGAATTTTCAAAAATATATTATAAAACAATGGAAATGAATTTATATGATTGTTTTATTTGGTACAACTTTTTAAAATGTAAGATTATTTCACCTATTGTCTTGAAAATATTACTTCACTAGTAAGTTGTTAACCCCAAGTCTGGGGACACATAATTATACCAAAGTTTAGGCCTTATTATTATGCAAAAAGTATACAATACTTTTAATGCATGGTATCAATTCAGTTGTTTTAGGTCAGACCTTGTTACAAACAAAATGCTGAATTGTTTGCCTTCACTGTGCACAAGTATTATAAATAAATCTTGAAAATTATTTGTGCAAAGAGATTGCTTCTGTTTTTATTCTTTTAATTCTCTTTTTTTGGTTTGTTTGAAGACCATGCCTTGCACAGGTCAAATAGGGAAGAAATGGAGGAATGTAGGCATTGAGTCTCATGCAAACCTTGCTCATAAATCATGCTCCAGCTGTCTTGGACATGAGGGTGAACTGTTAATCACACCAGACTGGTACACATCTTCATAATATGATCATCCTTCTCCTTTTTACAGTCTGACAGGAGGGATGCTATGTTTAAATTTCACTGGGAGTTAGAATTAACAGTTTATAAGTAGCTGAAGTTCTTATTGCTCAGATTGTTGTCAGCAAACCCACTCAACAGCATTTAACAGGATCAGAGGGGGGAAAGAGCAGAAGGAAAATACAGAACTAAGCTTGCTGTGTCTGTGTTTTGTGCACTTGAAATGCTGCTGGCTGCTTTGGTGACACTCCCCCTGCCAAGTTTTATTGCTGGGCACAGCACCATACAGCATGGGTTACCCCTTTGGTCAGTTGGGGTCTGCTGTCTCGGCTGTGTCCCCTTCCAGCCTCTTGCCCTGCCCAGCCTGCTCTGCAGGGGCCCAGCGTGAGAAGCAAGGAAGGCCTTGGAGGCTTTGTGAGCTCCCCAGGAGCCATAATACTGGGGTGTTACCACCACTGGTTTGGTGACCAGTCTAAAACACAGCATCAGAGGGCTGCTCTGGAGAAAATGAACTCCATCCCAGCTAGGCGCAATATGGTTGTCATGAGGTGTGATTGTGGACAGTTATCTCATTCTTATTCCAGACCAGTGTGGTACTGTACTTGTAAGAAAAGGTAAAGGAGGGGAAAGAACAAAAGACATTGAAGACAAGAAGTAACGGAGCTCAGGAGCCAGCTTTCCTCTCATCCTGTCACTTGTTACTTAGGAAAAGAGGCCGACCCCCACCTCACTATACCCTCCTTTCAGGTGGTTGTAGAGGATGATAAGGTCTGCTTGGGTGGTCTGTAACAGACTTCCACCACAATAGCTGCTTTGTTGGACTTCCCCATGATTCTTACCCATAACCACTTGACACTTTTGTCACCATCATCAAGCTCTAGATAGTCAAAACACTTCCTAATCTGGACAGGCTGGAGAGGTGGGCCTGTGTGAACCTCATGAGGTTCAACAAGGCCGAGTGCAAGGTCCTGCACCTGGGTCAGGGTAACCCCCAGTATCAGTACAGGCTGGGGGAATGAAAGGATCAAGAGCAGCCCTGCCGAGAGGGACTTGAATCAATGTTATCAAAGTAAGCTCTTGGCATCTCCATATACTTCAGCAAATGGAACTGTTGGAACGGGTCCAGAGGAGGACTACAAAAATGATCCGAGGGCTGGAGCAGCTCTCCTATGAGGACAGGCTGAGGGAGTTGGGCTTGTTCAGCCTGGAGAAGAGAAGGCTGCAGGGAGACCTGGTTACAGCCTTTCAATACCTAAAGGGGGCCTATAGGAAAGATGGGGAAAATCTTTTTAGTAGGGCCAGCTGTGACAGGACAAGGGGTAATGGTTTTAAACTGAAGCAGGGTAAGTTTAGACTTGATATAAGGAAGAAATTCTTTACAATGAGGGTGGTAAAACACTGGAAGGGGTTGCCTAGAGAGGTAGTGGAGGCCCCATCCCTGGAAACATTCAAGGCCAGGTTGGACGGGGCTCTGAGCAACCTGATCCAGTTAAAGATGTCCCTGCCTACTGCAGGGGGTTGGACTAGATGACCTCTAGGGGTCCCTTCCAACCCAAACCATTCTATGATTCTATGATTCTAACAAACAGGGCTATACCACTGCCTCTCCTTCCTTGCCTATCCCGCCTGAAGAGTCTATAGCCATCCATGGCAGCACTCCAGTTGTGCGAGTCATCCCACCATGTTTCCGTGATGGCAACTCTATCACAGTTTTCCAGCTGCACAATGGCATCCAGCTCCTCCTGTTTCTTGCCCATGCTGTGTGCATCAGTGCCGATGCACTTCAGCTGGGCTATTGATCTTGCCACCATTCTCAGGGTATTCCATGGTTTCTAACAGAAATATCTATATCATATAGAGATTGTGTATTTGTAAAAATATACATAGAGGGAGAAAGGACATGAACCCATATCAGTTGCAGTTCATGAAATTAGGATCAAAATAACCTCTGTTGAGTAGTAGCCCTCTTCCATAAAAATGTCATGCACAATTTTTAAAAGCCAATTACAAGCCCTATAACAAGTGTCAGTACCATGTTTCATGGTCTCTAGAAGCCCATAAATTGACACACTTGCATGTTTAATGTGAGCATCCTTATGGTTTCTTGCTTGCCCTAATCTTAAGCCTTCATTCTATATGGAGCTGCTTTCCTGCTATGTGTTTTGGTCGGTTCCGTCAGCGTCCAGATTCCACATTGTTCTGTCGAGGCTGTTCCAGTGCTTTTGCCTGAGAATGACTTCATAAACCATGGCAGGATCACCTACATCAAACTTTTCAAGTTGGGGTGGTCCTGCAGGCTAGTAATTTCATCACTAAGAAATAGGACGTGAGGATACCCAGTTCACAAGTGCCACAATTCCTCTAAAACTGCCAGTTGCATGATTTGCCAGCAGTTCCTGCATTGGCGTGCACCACCACTTCCAACATGACTGCCTTAGCATTTCCCTGCCTCCCCAGTGATGCTCCCCCTGGCTACCCTATCTTACTGACCCCTTGGGAAGGGGGAAACGGGTAGTAGACACTCCCTACAACATCTCCTTTGTTTTCCATCCCACTAATCCTTACCCAGCGGCTCTCAACCACATCATCACCAACTGTAAGGGCTGTGTAATCAAACCTCTCTCCCTTACATATAGTGTGACACCTCCACCTTACCTGCCCTGTCTGTCCCTCCTGAACAGCCTGTAGCCCTCCATCCCAGCACTTCAGTTGTGGGACTCATTCCACCAAGTCTCACTAATACCAATGTTATTGTATGCTTCCATTTCATCCTGTTTATTTCTCATACTGCGTGTGTTAGTGTACAAGCATTTCAGATACGCTCCTGAGCCCTGTGTGCTCCCAGGAGCAGTGCCAATGTTCTCACCAGGATTGCCACTCTCTGGCAATGCCATGCCAAACCTTGTCTTACCTGCTGCAATCCTTCTGGTATCCCCTTCCTCAAGCAATTCTAGTTTAAAGCTGCCTTAATGAGCCCCACCATCTTACTCCCAAAGATCTGTTTTCCCCATTGGGACAGGTGGATCCTGTCAGGCCCCAACATACCTTGTTTCTCGAAGGCTCCTCCATGGTTTAAAAGCCCAAAGTTTTGGCAGAGGCACTAATCCTGGAGCCAGATATTGATAACCCGGGCTTGTCTTTTCCTTCCAAAGTCTCCCCCCATTACCAGGACGATTGAGGAAATACCTGTGCTCCCAAATTTTTTAGAAACTGGGAGGGGCTGTTGACTCTCTTGAGGGACAAGAGACCTTGAAGTGGGATCTAGGTAGATTGGAGCATTGGACAATGATTAATGTTTCAGAAAACAGGTTTAACCTGTTGTAAACACCAAATGGTCAGTCTTGGCACTGGGGTAGCCTGAGCTTTCAGAAATGGGAAAACGTATCTCTGTGATGCTGGTGGCTCCCACAGGCATATGCCAGTGCACCAGGCGGTTGGGTAAGCTCTTACTGCAGATCCGTGAGGGTCTCCTCCCTCAGCAGAGCTCTAGGAGCTTTCTCTGCCCTTTTTGTAGGCCAGTCTTCTCTACTGTTGCCTGCCGTTTATTGTTTTGGTTATGTTTAGTGCCTGCAAATGCACTTCTGCAACTGCTATCAGCAGGGTTCCAACATTTTTACATCCCTTAAGGCTTCTGCAGGTGATTTTGTTATCATTTCCTCAATTTGGCTATCCATTTCTCGTTGTGGTTCTTTTCAGACAGCTGTCTACATCAGTTTAAAGAGTCAACTTATGTATTTCAAAAACTGAGCAACTTAACTTCTCCCTGATAATTTCCCAGGTAAATTATGCAATGTTACACTGAACATCATATTAACCATCAACACTTGGTGTTGTATCATAATTATTGGTATGAGGGTTGGCATGTTAGAGAAAAGACATTACTATAAGACTTTAAGTAACTTTAAGATAAACACAGTAGAATCCTGATTTTTATAAACTGAAGCAACTTGCTGTAAGTTTTCATTCAGAAGAAAAAAAAAAAAAGAAAGAAAATGTAGTGTTCCCCAGTCCAATTTCAATCTAACTGAAAACCAAACCTGTAGATGACGGATCAAGGAGGGTAAAGACTCTTACTGTATTTTAAATTATGTTCTTTGCTCACAGAGGTGGCAAAATATATGTGTTGTTACCAGTGGGTCCTCCCCCAGCACGTGGCACAGCAGGAAGTACTTTCCTGCTTTCAGTCACTTTGTGTTTCACAGGAGGCAAAA